TTATACGTATAAACGGGGCCACTTGATCGAACGACCCGGATTAGTTTTTGCGGCAATTTAAGGTTGTCGCTCACTGGAGCGCAGCGCACGGCAGCGCGGCGAAGAGGACTTTTTAAATACATTGTTTTAAATGGAAGTACGCTCACTTGTCGGAAGCGCACCGATCGGCATACTCCCATTTAAAGCCATGTATTATAAAAAGTCCTTTACGCCGCGCTTCCGTGCGCTGCGCTCCAGTGAGCGTCAGCCTTTAATTTGAGAGTCGGTTCGCGGACATTGTGCGTATTTTTTAGCGGCGTCGCGGCATATTTGTCGGCATATTTCTTTGAAGCGCTTGCCGCACCGCACAGGAGTCAGTTTCGTCTGGAAAGACAGTGCAGTAGATATTTTGAAGTGAAAACTTCTTTAGAATCGTTGGGAGTGATTTGAGACTCGATGAAACGAAAAAGCGACACTTTTTTAACACTCTTATATTAACACACAACAAGAACCTGGAACAAGCCAAGTGAGCTGGAACAAGTCTGGAAAATGTCTGGATAAATCTGGATGAAGTCTGGAAAAGTCTGGAAACGTCTGGAAAGAGCCTGGAAATTTTTGGAACGGGTCGGAAAAATTCTGCCAAAGGTCCCTAAAGACATGGGGATCATTTTCCAGAATCCGGATCAGCCTGTACAAGTCTTGATAAGGTCTGGATAAGGTCTGTAAAACTCTGGAAAACTCTGGATAAGTATGGATATTGTCTGGAAAAGTCTGGAAATCTCTGGAAACGTCTGGAATGAGCCTGGAAATTTCTGGAAAGGGTCGGAAAAATTCTGCCAAAAGACCCAAAAGACCTGGGGATCATTTTCCAGAATCCGGATCAGTCTGTACAAGTCTGGATAAGGTCTGGATAAATCTGGATAAAGTCTGTAAGACTCTGGAAAACTCTGGATAAGTCTGGATATTATCCGGAAAAGTCTGGAAATCTCTGGAAACGTCTGGAAAGAGCCTGGAAATTTCTGGAAAGGGTCGGAAAAATTCTGCCAAAGGTCCCAAAAGACCTGAGGATCATTTTCCAGAATCCGGATCGGTCTGTACAAGTCTGGATAAGGTCTGGATAAATCTGGATAAAGTTTGTAAAACTCTGGAAAACTCTAGATAAGTCTGGATATTGTCTGGAAAAGTCTGGAAATCTCTGGAAACGTCTGAAAAAACTTGAAAATTTCTGAAAAGGGTTGGAAAAATTCTGAAAAAGGTCCTAAAAGACCTGGGGATCATTTTCCAGAATCCGGATCAGTCTGAACAAGTCTGGATAAAGTCTGGATTAATCTGGATGAAGTCTGGAAAACTCTGGATAAGTCTGGATAATGTCTGGAAATCTCTGGAAACGTTTGGACAAGGCCTGGAAATTTCTTGAAAGGGTCGGAAAAATTCTGGAAAAGGTCACAAAAAACCTGGGGATCATTTTCCAGAATCCGGATCAGTCTGTACAAGTCTGGATAAATCTGGATGAGATCCGGAAAACTCTGGAAAGCTCTGAATAAGTCTGGATAATGTTTGGAAAAATCTGGAAATCTCTGGGGCTGACACGCTTTTATAATACATCGAACTAAAAAGTGAAAAATAAATATAGTTTAAAAAAACTAAAAAACACGCTTTTATAGTAAATTGAACTAAAAAGTGAAAAATAATTTTTAATATAAACATAAAATATTAATGAACAAAAAATATTAGAATTATTGTGAAAAAAACGTGATATAAAAGCGTGTTTTTTAGTTTTTTTAAACTATATTTATTTGCGTTCTTTCTCAAGTCTTTTGGAGGGGGGGACGCCACTGTGTATGTTAGTATGTGTGTAATACATGCAGTTCGATGAAGGTTTCACTTCTACTGGGTGCGAACTGCACACTTTTTTTTATAAGTTTGATTCCTATTTGATTTGTATCATGCCTTATGTTTTATTTTATATAAAACTGTTTTAATAAATTTCTCTTATTCCGCCCGTGCTTCATAAAGGAAACGCCGAACACCAAAGGAATTTAATTTTTATTTACTGTTTCATTTGACTATCGATAGACAGTCAACGTTGACTCCAGGAATATCTTAGTGGTTAGATTTTTTAGCGGCGTCTCTGACGTCATAGGGCGGCATCTCTGGCGCCATAGGGCGGCATATTTCTTTGAAGCGCCTGCCGCAAAGAAATCAGTTTTGTCTGGAAAGACAGTGCAGTAGATATTTTTTATAAATTTGATTCCTATTTGATTCGTATGGTGCCTTATGTTTTATTTTATGTAAAACTGTTTTAATAAATTTCTCGTACTCCGCCTGTGCTTGATTTATTATTTTGTAGAAATGGTATATGCCCACGTTTGAATTGAGAATAAATGAAAAAAATTTTCGAGGCGTGTTTTTTTTACAACTTTTAGATCAAAATTTGGGTTAGTTTGGGTCAGTCCAAAAAAATTTGCGCGCCTCTGGGGCTTCCCCTCTGAGTGTATGCACCGCCAACTTTTCCTCTCACCAGCCGCCACTGGTTGGGAGTGATTTGAGACTCGATGAAACGAAAAAGCGACACTTTTTTAACACGCTTATATTAACACACAACACACAACAAGAACCTGGAACAAGCCAATTGAGCTGGAACAAGTCTGGAAAATGTCGGGATAAATCTGGATGAAGTCTGGAAAAGTCTGGAAATCTCTGGAAACGTCTGGAAAGAGCCTGTACATTTCTGGAAAGGGTCGGAAAAATTCTGCCAAAAGACCTGGGGATCATTTTCCAGAATCCGGATCAGTCTGTATAAGTCTGGATAAGGTCTGGATAAATCTGGATAAAGTCTGTAAAATTCTGGAAAACTCTGGATAAGTCTGGATATTGTCTGGAAAAGACTGGAAATCTCTGGAAACGTCTGGAAAAGACTTGCAAATTTCTGGAAAGGGTTGGAAAAATTCCGAAAAAGGTTCCAAAAGACCTGGGGATCATTTTCCAGAATCCGGATCAGTCTGAACAAGTCTGGATTAATTTGGATGAAGTCTGGAAAACTCTGGATACGTCTGGATAATGTCTGGAAATCTCTGGAAACGTCTGGAAAAGGCCTGGAAATTTCTTGAAAGGGTCGGAAAAAATCTGGAAAAGGTCCCAAAAGACCTAGGGATCATTTTCCAGAATCCAGATCAGTTTGTACAGGGTCTGTTCCTTATAATTAGTGCGGCTCCTACAACTTAAAAGAAAATACAAAAAAAGTTAAATGCAGAAGTTGTAGGGTTTTAGCTCTATTATCTTTCGTACATGTCAGAATGGGCAAATGACAGGTGCCAACTGTCATAATGACAGCACTTGCATTTTTTTAAATGGAACACCCTGTATATCTTTAGCTAGGATGATAGACTTTTTTCTTCTGATTTCAAATATACCATATATGTTGATATTTTGCTAAAAGTAATCACTTTTAACACCAGTGTTATAAAATGGCATTTTAGACACTGACAACATCCGTTAAAAATGACACTTTTAGTGACGTTTGTAGAAAAACTATATTTATTTGCATTCTTTCTCAAGTCTTTTGGAGGGGGGGACGCCACTGTGTATGTTCGTATGTGTGTAATGCATGCAGTTCGATGAAGGTTTCACTTCTACTGGGTGCGAACTGCACACTTTTTTTTTTAATTCCTATTTGATTTGTATCGTGCCTTATGATTTATTTTACATAAAACTGTTTTAATAAATTTCCTTATTCCGCCCGTGCTTCATAAAGAAAACGCCGAACGGGCGCGCGAGAGCAGAGGAGCGTGGGAGGCATGTCGTGAAGAAATGCGGAGAGTGAGTGACTCGAGGAATATCTCAGTGGTTAGATTTTTTAGCGGCGTCCCTGGCGTCATAGGGCAGCATCTCTGGCGTCATAGGGCGGCATATTTCTTTGAAGCGCCTGCCGCAAACCGCAAAGAAATCAGTTTCGTCTGGAAAGCAGTAGATATTTTTTATAAATTTGATTCCTATTTGATTTGTATGGTGCCTTATGTTTTATTTTATATAAACATGTTTTAATAAATTTCTCGTACTCCGCCCTTGCTTCATTTATTATTTTGTAGAAATGGTAAATGCCCACGTTTAAATTGAGAATAAATTAAAAAAATGTTCGAGGCATGTTTTTTTTACAACTTTTAGATCAAAATTTGGGTTAGTTTGGGTCAGTCCAAAAAATTTTGCGCGCCTCTGGGGCTTCCCCCCTGAGTGTGTGCACCGCCAACTTTTCCTCTCACCAGCCGTCACTGATTACTATTTCTACGGTTAGTTTTACTTTCCCAAATATTTTTCCTAATGACGCAATCATTTTTATCTTATTTCCCATTTTCAAGTAGGTACCTAACTTTACATATTTGTACATGTTTTATTTATTATACTTATGTCGCATTCATCCATCATTACTAATCATTGCATGCTTCTGATAAATATTTATCATTAGCTAATGAGCATACTAATGAACAAATAACAAGCAGAACAGAGCAGATCGATAGTTTGAATTTATCTTTGCAATTTGCCTTTGAAATTAGGATAATAATGCAGCATTCGCTATCTCTATGATAATTATTGTTATTGTAGATACTGAATATTACAGTAGGAAAATGAACTTGCAACAGGTAGATAAATTGTTAATTTTAGTCATTTGAAATGTTTTAAAAAAAAAAACTAAATTTGGACCCTTCTTACATTTAAAGAATTTTCTTTTAGTGTGTCTAGTTTATGGAATCAAAAATCTTGTTGAATCAGGAATAAGAGCAAAACCTGTAGACAAAATTGATTATTTAATATGTTGCGCAAAGCAAAACATTAAAATACATAAGCCAAACTTAATAAGATCATAAAGTCAGAAATTGATCCGCGTCAAAAAAGAAGAAAATAATATAGTTATTTGTCTTCTCCTGATAAATCCTCTTAAATTTACTTCTTACATTTAATCTAGTTTCTACCAGAGGCCATAAAAGTTCAATGTTCTACATCGAAAATCACATTAATCCACTTACCCGGCGATGTTTTCTTATGTAACACTACAAAAGTCATCAGTTAGTATAATATAAACACTATCCAATAGTCAAATATTTAAGTAAATTCAGTTCAAAATCACTTAAACGAACCTGCCCTACCCTATTATCCCCAAACTGACAAACCACCCTTCACAACGTCCGCCATCTTACATTTCCCCCTTTCAAAACTAATATTTGATTTCCTTTAAAAAAAAAAAAAAACAGCTGTTACACAAATAGGTTGACACTAATTTAGAGAAAAATTTAAATACCAAAAAGAAGCTAGACCTTAAAGTACACTTGAACTTTGTGTTAAAGGAACAAAATCGTTGTTGCGGGGTTTAATTTACCAGCCGAACAAAGAGGAACGAAACAGAAATATCGGCCAGACAAATGTGCGTCGCTTTGAGGGTGGATTGGGGAGTGCGGCGGGGATGCGAAGGGGTTGCACCGCGGCGTCGACGCCGTCGATAGCGTCGGTCTATACCGGGAAAATTGGGAAAGTGTCTTAATAATTTAATAAGGAAATAGAAATTTCTAGATTTACCTATAGATATAAAATTAACCATGAAAATCTGTTTTATTAACGAGCCGCAATACATGTTTTTTGTTTTGTTTTGTATGTGTTCTTTCTTTAAAGTTATAAACAGTCTTGTTTGAAGTATGTTGCGGAATATGGATAAAACATGTATGACATTTCAGACTCAGAAACTCGCTAAGGGTTGGCAGAAGAAGATATGAGCAGATTGAAAGGATAATGCGCTAAATAGAAAGTTATGAAGAATCCTGTAACCTGTACATTGTTACACCTGTTAATAGTATTGCTCCATGCTCCTCGAGTAAATTACAGAGATTATTGGCAGAAGCAAGCAAACCGCATTTTCCAGACTCCACTAACTACTTTGTGAAGTTTACTATAAGTATTCCAAAATAAGATTGGTTGATAATCATATTTCATATTTATCTATTATCTATTGTGTTGAGATTCCTTTCACATGGATCTCATAGAACCCTGACCCCTAGACTGAGGAGTATTCGAAGCTCTTCAAAACTCCGTCAATAATAATAATAGCCCCAAGAAAAGCATGACTATTAAAAATATCCAAATCGAAAAAGCTTGGCCATTAGCGATGACACCAGATTATAATATAATGGTCGGATTTATATTTGAGTGTCACTAGCCTATTCATATGGCTGTTTTTGATGACTCGCAATCTATAGCGGGATACTCTTTAACACTTGCTGCAGAAAATAAATATTAAAACTGAGCCCTTGCTGAAATGTAATGTTTCAAATTTTACATTGAAGGGGACGACATTATTGTGGTGGGATTGAAATTTTGTAAAGTGCTTTTCAGGATCCTCCTCCTGACGAACATGGCTATATTGGAATGTACACTCCAATAAGCTTATTATATCTATTCATCATCATAGGCGATCACTGGATACCGAGTATAATTATCTCCTATTCTATTCTGTTTGTCGTCGATTGTTCGTTTTCTAATGGCTATATAGACCAATTCTGGAGCCGCACACTCTTCCACAGTCTTGACACACCCAGCCTCTGACAACACTGTCTCTTCCTCTGTTCTCTCGCTCCTTCCTGCGATTTCTCTTTTCGGTCTCGTGTCTGCGTCACTGTTTTTCAAAAGTTTGTGGTACGTTGTGGACTACTCGACGCCATGGGGACCTATCATTTGTCGTCGTCTCCCAGTTGATGGTAGGTATCGATGCGGCACTTTGCCATATTTTCCTTAAGAACATCTTTGTAGCGTTTTTGTTGACCTTGATTTCGTTTTCCCTCTTTCAGTTGACTGTAGAGAATCTGTCGTGGAAGATGTGTTTTGGGCATGCGAAGGAGTTGAAGAATGAAGCTTATTCTTCAACCAGCAGACCAGTTTTGCAAAAAAAAAAATCTCCAACTAACAGCGACCACCAAAAATTTTAAAAAAAATCATAAATAAAATCCAAAATCGAGAAAATGTTATAAATCTCACGTTGCAGAAGGCTATTCTCGCACTCATTCGTTCGCGATGTTCGTGCTTAATGATGAGGGCATCCATGCAGTTGTTCGGGCCTCCTCTACAACACTAGTGTTCCTTCATCGGTCTTGTCATTTAATCCGTGTATCCTTCTTAGGCATCGCTGGTGGTATTTTTCTGGATATTTCATGTATCTTCTGTAGGTGGTCCATGTTTCGCCGCCATATGTAAGTTTTGGTATTACAACTACATTGCAGACGCGAAGTTTAATCCCAGCGTTGATGTCGTGACTGTTGAAGACTCTCTCCAAAAGTCGTAAGAACGCTTCGCTAGCACACTTCAAATGATGTTGGATTTCAGCGTTAATGATAGCATTCGCTGCCAGATGGTTCCAAGGTATGGGTAGTGTTCTAAATTCTTCAAAGAATGGTCATTTATAGATAATTATATTTAGGGCTTGGGGATACGTGCCCGGTGCGGATTAGTGCAAAATGCTTCTTGTTAATGTTGACCTTTAGGCCGGTTCTCCTGAATATCTGATTGAATGCATTGATAATTGCCTGAAGATCTTCCTCTGTATTGACCATCACGACGTTATCATCGGCATATTGAAGTGCAATTATCGGTCGTCGATACTTTCGTCTTGGGTCGTAATCTGTTTAGATTGAATAAAAGTCGCTATCAAGTCTGTACAGGATCTTCACTCCTGGGTCCTTATTCTTGAATCAGGGGAGCAGCGTTCCCAAGAGAACGAGTGTTCCGTCTTTGTTACTTATATTATCATTTGCATAAGAGAACGAGTGTTCCGTCTTTGTTACTTATATTATCATTTGCATATCATTGGGAAAGACGGAACAGTCGTTCTCCTGGAAACGCTGCTCCCCTGTTTCAAGAATAGGGAGCCTGAGGGCTAAGTGATCCTCGACAATAAATGGAGAAAATAAGGTGGGTACAATGACATAGCTCTGTTTAACGCCTGTAGTTTGTTCTCTGGATTTCTCTTGCATTTGTCTTGCACTGAAAATTATATTGGAGCTGTACCTCGGTTGGGTCTAAAACCATACTGTGTCTCTGGGAGGTTATTTGCGGCAGTTGGGATTAGGCAATTTGTACCATCCTGGTAAGTATCTTTTCGCAGCAGAAAGGAAAGATATTCCTCAGTAGTTTCCACATTGAGCCTTGTCTCTTTTTTTAAAAAATAGCAACTATGGAGGTATCTCTTAGTTTGGCAGTAATCAGTTTCAATTCTCAGGACATGGGTTTGGGCACCTATTGTGGGGCCTCCTTGTTTAAAGAATTCAGCAGAAATGTACTAGCTGACCTATTGTTCTTTAGATGTCTGATTGCCCTTCCAACATACCCTAAACTCGGAACCTCGCTCCGTTCTGTGGAATTCCGTTGAAGTTGTCACTATTAATTTGTGATTTTCTGTTAAGTAGTTCCTGAAAGTGGGGAGAACTGTCATTAAGCAGTCTTGTGCCATCTTTGGATCGTAAGAGACTGAGTCCTTGAGTGGTTGGTCCGTATACAAGCATCTTAGTAGCCTGAAAGAAGGTACTGGTGCTGTTGGATATCTATTACTGGCACCTTGGCGGAAATCTTATACAATATCTGAGTTAAATCTTTTCTATTTATGTGCCTAGTAGGTATGTTTCCTCATGATTCTGGGATATTTCGTTTTATTTGGTTACCTTATGTCATTGTAATTTGTGTCTTACTTAAACATAACATAAACATAAACTTATGGTGTCCCGCTTTCATCTTAATGCGTTGTTTTATTATTAAATGATTACTAGATAGAGCAAAGGTCATGAAAGGTACAATTCTATCCTATCCAGTCCTATAGCTAAGGATGTGAGATTGTATAGTAGCAGAACTCCTTCGATACTTTATCTACATTTGTTCATGAGGACACAAGACACTACACCCTTGTGCTACATGGAGCTAGCAATAAGGTTATGCGCAGATGCTAATACCAACCTATCAATATATTCCATTTTGAAAAAAGTCACAATTTTTGAGACAAAAGTTTATCTGCACACGTAGGAGGATAAAATCGAAAATGTAACCAAGAATCTTGGATAAGAAAACGAATCTCGACAGAGTTTTCGAAAGTGACTTTGGAATTCTCAATCAAACCTGCAGTGAGCGATGAGTTCTTGAAGCGAGGACACGTTTTTTGAAATAGAAGCCTGGTTCCAGATAACTAAATTTTCCGACAAAAGAAACCTACGGGAATGATAGACAATATTGCGCAGGCGAAGGATATCGAAGAAATGTTGGACGATATTTTGGATTTGACTCGGAAAGATGGAAACTTTAGCAGAGGTACAGGCTCCTCCGCGGCAATTCCGTAGAAATCTGACGAAGAAGAGAAGGACCCGGCTCCCAGGGCAGCGTATGACGCAGCTGCAAAGGCGCCACTAGCTGCAAGCCATCCAAGCCAAAGCTGAATGTACCACAGTGTTAAGAAAGTTAAGGTCGGTTGGATCCGACGACGCCAAGTTAGAAAAACCAAAAGTTTTATCCAACACGACAGCAGACCACATGGTTTTACTCAAGACTCTGCATGGTGGCCCTACTCCACGCATCTGCTCCAAGAAAAGAAAAAGGGGTAAGCTCTATAATCGGTGGATCACCAAAAGACGTGCAAAGAGCAAAGTTTGCAGAGGAATTGAAAATCCTTCATTTCAGGGATACCTACAGAAGTAACCCATATGACTGCTGAATAGTAAAGGAATGAGCCGATTCTGATTTTCCTTGTCAAGCCGACGATGTGAGAAGCTTGAAAAGTCGGGCGATTTTTGAGACTTGATGTTTCTTCAGTTGAGCGGAAACGGAAATCCGGACAGCTCTTGAACAATCTGACAGAAGCCAGTTATTTGGGCACATATAAGCCAGATGCACGATTACAGAGACGTATGTCGTCTCAGATTGATCTATTAAATAAGCAAAATTTTTTAGATGTTTTAGCTCCCGAGATAATAGGCTCTTGATTTCGGTAATGCTTTTAAATATCCAATCTATTAGATTTAAAATTGATGAACTGTTCCTTTTTTTGGACATTATGGATTATCCCGATGTGTTACTTTTGACTGAGCACTGGCTAATGGTTGATGAACCAGTATCCTTACCCAATTATTCTACCTTGTCAGTATATTCAAGATCTAATTTTACTCATGATGGTACATAGATAATGGTTCGTCATAAGTTTTGTTATTCCTACATCAAAACAACAATAATCTTTCATGTAGACATTGCATTGGCCTTTTATTTATTTTTCATCATGTCATATGTTTTTGTAACATAGTTACAATATAAATATTTAGTCGTCACTTAGTCGTCACTTAGTCGTCACTTAGTAGGATTTACTCACAGAATAATTACGGTGGGTT